TAAAAGACAGAGTAGAGCTGCTCCATATGGTTTCCTAGGCTGTAATCTTTATGGAAGCTGACTGCCACATCTTTCTCTCACGGAGCAGCTGGTGGGTTTTAGCACTGAACCACTGCACCACCAGGGCTCCTTTACTGGATACTAGTGCCCTTCAAATATATATATATATATCTATATATATATATCTTATGAATAAACTTATTAAATTTTACCCAGGTTTGACTACCAGAAATAAATCCTTTTTGTCTGAACCTTCCACAAGTTTTCATTTCCCTTCAGGTTTGTCCCATATCTTCCTCTTTGTCATTCTGGAACAACCAGGCATTTTACTTTAGGACAAAATTTCTCTGTTTGCATCTGGGGCAGGAATATCACTGCAGTGATGTTGTGTTCTTCTTGCATCCTATCCACTTGTGCTAGATTTTGATTTGTCCCATTGCTGACGTTCACTAGATTACTTGATGAGGGTGGTGTCTTCCCTTTGTAATATGTATATGTACACACAAGGAGCCCTGGTGGTGCAACGGTGAAGCACTCAGCTGCTAACCAGAAGATCGGTGGTTTGAACCCACCAGCTTCTCTGCGGGAGAAGAGTCCTGGTGATGTGCTTGTGTAAAGATTACAGCCTAGGAAGCCTCATGGGGCAGTTCTGCTCTGTCCTATAGGATCGCTATGAGTTGGAAATGACTTGACAGCACACAGTAACAACATATGTACACATAAACATATTATGTATATGTATAAATATGCAATACATCTTTACATGTACATTCATTTCTAAATATATCTATATATGTTGAAAACAGGGCTTATTCTAGTTTTCTCCCTTTACATATCTCTAACTCTCTTCTTCAATAGTGAAAAACCTGGTTCCCGTTATCATTCATATATTTACTTATTCGATTAGTCCTTCTACCAGTAACCCATTTCCCATCCCTATTGTCATCTTTAAGGAGCTCTGGTGGTGCAGTGGTTAAGTACTTGGCTGCTAACTGAAAGGTCAGTGGTTCGAACCCACCAGCTCCTCTGTGGGAGAAAGATGTGGCAGTCTGCTTCTGTAAAGATTACAGCCTTGGAAACCCTATGGGGCAGTTTTACCTTGTCCTGTAGGATCACCATGAGTCGGAATCGCCTTGATGGCACACAACCACCACCATCACCTGTACACCGTGCAGATGCCCTCTTGACCGCTCCTAGGCACTGACACCCTGTGTCTGGCTGTCCCCCCATCACCTCCACCGCTGTGGATGCCTTCCTCACCCTGCTTGGGATCTTACACTCCACCCCCTGGATATGTGCCACAGTGTGGACTCCATCTTGCTCCCCACCCCAGCCACCCCTCCATGGGGATGCTCTCCTCACTCTTCCTTGGCTCTGACAGCGCACATTGGTAAACCCTTATGTGGTACCCTCTTTACCCCCTGTTGGGCTCTGTTATGAATTGTGTCCCCCCAAAATAAGTGTTATAATTCCTAGCCTCTATGCCTGTGGTTATAATCTCATTTGGGAATGGGTTGACTTTGCTATGTTACTGAGACAGGACTTGTGTAGTGATGTGTCTTGAATCAATCTCTTTTGAGATATAAAAGAGATAAAACAAGCAAGCTAACAAGCAGAGTTGGGGAAGAGAGATGCCAAGCCACATGAAGATCGCCCAGGAGCAGAAGATCAAAGAGACAAGGACATTCCTCCAGAGTTGACAAAGACAGAAAGTCTTGCCCTGGTCCAGCACCCTGAATTTGGACTTCTGGCCTCCTGAACTGTGAGGAAATAAATTTCTGTTTGTTAAAACCACCTGCTTGTGGCATTTCTGTTATAGCAGCACTAGATGACCAAGACAGGCTCCCACACTTCATCCTGGGCCACCACAGCTGCTCTCATCAGGCACAGATTCCTCATTTCCTTTTCCCTAATTACTTCATGGAAAAATTGTTTAGGAAGGGAAAGGAAAGAACAGAAACAGGAGTGGGAAAAAGAGATAAGAGGAAGAGGGCAGATTTATTTAAATGGAGAGAGAACATGTTCATAGATTAGGAGATACTGTGTCTTACAGATGTCAATTCTCCTCACATTGGTTCCCAAAAGTTTCTTTCATGGAACTTGACAATCTGATTCGATAATTTATATGGAGCTAAGGTATTTTTGAATATGAGCATGGAATGATGAGGACCATGCCACCCCTCCATCCCCAAGACAATGGAGCACCACAACAGCCTGCTTGAACTTAGAATGAATTGATTAGAACTAAGTTTTCCACTGGGCAGAGATGAGGCTTGAGGTAGGAACAAAGGTCAGTTACAGAAAATTAAATAGTAACATTTCTCACACCACTGAGCTCTGAGTCTGAGACGGACTCTATAAGGATTGTAGCTGAAACCATGGCAGTGACAATGGGTGAGGTCCAGCTAGTTTGCAGTGGAAGAAGAGGAAGAAAAAATGAACTTTAAAGATCTGAAGAATTCAGTGTCAGAGAGAAGGGGTTGCCAGCAAATAAGGGTAAGAGAGAATTAAAGGAGAACTTTTAAACAAAAGACTTTTCTTTTTTCTTATCCCTTAGAGAATTAATGACCAACATTAAAGTACCCTTTATATTGTTGCCTTATTAGGTCAGTCATTCAACGCCAGAATTTCTATCCCACGGGGGTCTGTATTTTAAAAAATGAAAACCCCTTCAACTTCTGCATTACAATGAATACTAGAAGCAGAGATAGAGAGGGCCAGGTTACACACACAGGCTACTAGAAGGTCTAGACCAAGTTTACTGAATTTCATTCATTTAGTGCTCCTTTTCCAGGGTGGGAGCTCATTTGAAGAATATTTGAAAGGAGGATTTGTTCAAGAACGAGGGATAGACTGAGGATGCCATTGGAGGTTGCTAGAGTTGCATGGGCTTTTTACTTGGGGCAATCCCTAGCAGAGTTATGAGGCTTATTATGGACAATATCACATTTCCCTACACACACCTCTTAAATGGTTATGTACAGTAGTTCAAATCCAGTCGACATGAAGGCAGCTTAGGTGGGCAAACGATTTTCATGAGAGTACCAGCCCTCAAGTGATGTGTCGAAGAGAAAAGGGTTTTCCCATTCCACACAGCATTCCCCACAGTGGTGGTGGTTACTGGACCATCTGATTCCGTCTTCTCTATTTGAACTTCTTGTAACTCCAGGTGCCAGATGCACAGGGGCCCTCTAGCTTTCAGCTGGAAATAGTAATTACTCTGGCTCCTCATGTATCCGTAGCTGCCTATTTATTTCTTCATTTTGGAACTATCTTCATTACTACCTATCAGTTAGCAAATGCTTTATTTTATAAACCTGGGGGATTTCTGTTGATTATTTTACTAGTTTTAGACTGTGTGTATATCTATCATCCATTTTAGTTTGGAGCCCTGGTGGCATAGCGGTTAAGCATTCGACTGCTAACCAAAAGATTGGCAGTTCAAGTCCACCAGCCACTCCTTGGAAACCCTGTGGGGCAGTTCTACTCTGTCCTATATGGTTGTTATGAGTTGGAATCCACTTGATGGCAACGGGTAATGGAAGTTGTTTCTGTGCCTATTTGTATCTATGCCGTGAAATGACATGATTATGATTTAATAGACTTCTGATATACAACATGAATCGAATGGAACCTGCCAAACACAACTAAAATTTAACAAAATCTTAGGCAGCAAACCAAATAATATGGGCTTTAGTCTTGTTCCCACATATAAGCATTTTAAAACTGTTAGACTGGATTCCTTAAGGAAAATAAAAAATTAAATTTTGAGATTTTAGAATTTTGCAACATTTCTGTAGCAACTGTAGAAAAAGCAAGATGTGAATTCTGACTTATACAATGGTGCTTATTATCCCCGGTCTCTTGGGGGTGCTTTACTCGGTGTGTGTGTGTCGGGTGGGGGGGTCTTCGCATAAATACAGAGCTATAAAACCCATCAGACATGAAGGAATGGCCACCCAGGGCAGGAAGTCCTAGTTCGTTGTATTTTCCCCTTCTTTGCTTCCTTCCAGGGGCGCTGCAGGTACCCGCTTAACTAGGCGGGCTTAGAGGCTTACGTCCGGAGGCTGGACATTACTGGTGGGCTTTATTTAGATAGACAGATCTTATGACAGGAAATAGTTTATGAGTTGGCAGAGGGTTTACAAATCACACGGGGAGGATTTCAGACCCTCAGTCTGATGAGGTCCCTTGGGGTCTCTCCCCCTGCGGCCACACTCTCAGGCTGGCTTCCTGGGCAGCCTCTGCCGACGGGCGAGCGCTATCGTTTCTGCTGTGGTGAAGCTGCACTGTCCGTTTCTCTCCTCGCTTCAGGAGAAACGCACTCCTGCCGCCAGGCTTGTAGTCACAGGTTCTGGGGCGGGTGTCAGCGAGACCTGCTGCGGAGGAAAACCGCAACCTCCAGCCCCAGCCCCACTAAGCGCACCCCGCCTGCAGCGTCCCCGCCCGCAGCCCCCACGAGTGCAGCCCCACTTCCCGTCCTGCCGCGCGCGCCCCCGCCTCCCG